CCCACTTGAACGGCGTTGTGTTTGTGTGTGTCTTTGTGTAGCACACTTCATTTTTTGCTAGTTTGCATCTAGTTTTGCGCTGATCATCATCATCATCATCAGCATTCTGCTGAAGTGGTGGGCTTTTCTTGTGAATCAAACTTGAAGACCAGGCAGAGGTGTTGGTGGTGGTTCACGCAAACGCCGGTGACATGCGATGCACCGATAACGTAACCTTTCTGCTAGGTGATTGCCATTTACGCCACCAGCGCCTTTCTAGTCTTGGGAGCTGCCTTTGGCATTTCTTTTTGTTCCTTGTTAGCAGTTGGTGAAATCCCCTCATTTTTTCTCTTGGTGTCAATGTCGGCGAGGACACTGACGGCAACGGCAACCGCGAGTATGATAGGATGCTAGCAAATGGACCCTCCGCCGCTGCCGCCGCCGGATTCTCTAAGCGGATTTGCAGCTTGCCATTTGCCATTTGTACACACTTTTTTCTCTTTCCCTTCTCCATTCCGGGCTAATTCTGCAGCACTAATACTATCACTTTGTCTCTCTCTCTCTCTCTTTCTTTCTGCCCGCTTGCTATCAGCTAGCTGCTTGGCTGCTTTTCAATTAGTGCTGGGCCTTGCGAGAGAGTGCACTCGGCAAGGTCAGTCGGCAGCAAATGACAACAACAACACAACTACAAATGCAACTACTGTCAATTCCACTGTGGAATTGCACATTGCACACTGATACTGCTGCAATCGATTCCTTTTCGCCGTTTCACTGATCGATTCTCAATTGTCTGCTTGCCTTCACTCATTCATTCTTCTTCTTTGGTTGCTGCTGGACTGATTGGCCCACTTGCTTTTCCGTCCTGTCGCCGCTTTCCTGTCCTTTTCTTCTCCTTTCCTTTCCTTTCCTTTCCTTCCGTCGCTTCAAAGCAGAAGCTATTTTTGCAGGCCGTGGTTGTTGTGTGTGTGTCGTGTCCACCATCGAAACCACTGCACCAGCACTAGCACCAGTTTTTTATTTTTGCTTTTCTCTCTCTTTCTTGACTTTTTGTCAGTGCGTTCCAATGCACACACAACTGACGTCGATTGTTGTGTGCTGGTACGCTCAATTGGCGCGGGTCGCTTCTGCTTACCCAATTTAGGCGCCCGCTCGCCAGCAGAACCGAGTTAGAGTTAGAAAGTGAGAGTCAGCGACTCAATTCAAATTGAATTTGCTGCCGCAGCACACACTCACGCAAACACACTTTCTCGCTTTCCTTTCTTTCTTTTCCTCATCGTCAGGTTTCAGATAGACAGGCGGCAGCAATTCAGTGCACCAGCAGCAGTGATATCATTTAGGGCAATTGTTCATTGTGTTCACTGTCGATTCTCAATGCCACTTTTGCTTTTTTGCTTCTTCTCGTGGAGTTTTCTTGCCTGCCTGCCTGTCTGCCATTCCATTTCTCGGCCAGGGCGCTAATTGGCACTCCAATGAACAAACAGCTCACAGCCAGGCACAAACATATGAGGAGGAAGAAGAATACAGAGGGAAGATGACACGAGACCCGATGACGGGGAGATTCTTTTTCCATCTTTTACTCTCTCTCCCTCTCACTTTCTTGCTCACTCTTATATAGCCCCTGAATGGCGAGTGAGAGCGCCCTCGCTAATACCACAGTGTTAGTATGTGTATTCCTCTGCCTGTTTCTTTCTCTTTCTAGCTGCCCGTTTTTGCCCCCATCACATTGGCGAAACATTGGCGCGCGGGCAGGACACCACCACCACTACTCGCCAGCAGTAGTTCTTCTTTCAGAGTTAGAGTTGAGTTGAGCAGCAGTATTGGAGCAGTTTGTCTTTCTGTCTGTCTGTCTGTGTTTAGGTTTCTTCTTCTTCAGCTCTCTCACACACCACCCGATTCTCGGTACTCGCTGCTGCTGCTGCTGGTGTTGAGAATCGAGGCGGCAGCAGCAGCATTTTGGCTTTACAGCCACACTCTCACACGGAGGACCGAGCACCACAGAATATACACAGGCAGAATAGACGCTGAAAACCTGAATCTGGCACTACTGCTGCTGCTGTTGATGGGCAGAGAGTAGTGCACGCAGTCTATCGCCATCAGCTGCAACACCAGCACACCAACACACACCAGACATCGTTTGCTCACACCACACATTTTTCTCTGTTGTTGTTGCCCTGCAAACACCCTCGATTACTTCATCACCCGAGTTTGCCATAATTCTCTCTCGCCATCTTTCACCACTTAAATTAGTAATTGAATTTGTCCATCACCCACCGAACGGCTGACTGCTGCTACTGTTGTTGTTGTTGTCCATCCCGTTCTGCCACTGGCTTAATTTGTGTTTTCTTTTTGGTTTGTTGAGGTCTATCCTCTCTTTTCTCCTTTTGCACTCTTTGCCACTTCGTTTCCACTCCTCTGCTTCACGTCAATCACTCGAACAACTCGGCAAAGAACGGTGAGTAAGTGAGGGTAGTGGTGTACATTTTATTTGTTTTAGTTTATTGGTGTGTGTGTGTGCTGTTTGTATTTGCAAGTTGCAATTGCAGTAGTGGTGGTGGTGGTGGCTGCTTCGGAGAAATGTCGTACAGGGAAGAGAGCTTCGTTTGGTGTAAGCTACTGCTGCTGCTGTTGTCAGCAGTAGTTGGCTGCTAGTTGACACAGATTGAGATTTGGTGACTTTCGGTTTGATTGCGCACTGGTGAGTGCCCACGCAGTGCCCACTGAACAACCGAAGAGAAAGAAACTACCCAAACACACTGCCAAATGACGACTGAGGAGCTTAATTGAAAGCAAAGTGCCCGTCCACTGACGGCGCTCCATTCACTCACTCATTCATTCATTCATTACCGCTCGCTTCTATTTGCTCTGCCAACAGATTCGGCTTCTCTGCTAGCCTGGTAACTTTTACTGTTGACTCACATGCGACATACACAAGCAAGCTCATGTGCTCTCCTTTACTTACACCACTGAAAGGAAAAAGTAGGAGGTAGTCTCAAATTGCTTTTCCATTGATTGAAGCTGCCTGTTTGCTGGAATTATCCCTTCTTTTAGCAGCAGTGGTATCGTTTCTTGTGGCGGTCGGCGGTAATTTGCTTGTGAGCAAATGCTCTTTGCAAATCAGATTTGCACGCCGTTCTTATCGCATTGAACTCTGGTGGGTAGTAGTGGTGGTGTACATTGTACGTTGAACGCTGCGCCCATGTTATTGTCTGTGTTTGGCAATAACTAATTGGAATTTAGGCCGGAGACGGCGTCGGCAGCGACGGCCAATGGCATCAGCATCATCAGCAGCAGCAGCAGCTTGCACTGTCTCTGCTCAGTCTGCCTATAATTTGATGAGCTGATCATGTTGAGCCCATTGAGTCCACTGCTGCTGCTGAGCTGTCTTTCGGAGAATTGGCAAAATTGCTCACACAATTTTCAATCATGCACCAATATATTGGCTGGTCGCTGACTCGTCCCTCTCTCATCTCTGCAATGTGAACGTCACTAATTTCCTCTGTCTCTCTCTCTCTCTCTCTCACTCTCTCCACCTTCACCACCACTGCCAACTGTAACAGCATACGGACACAATGTGTTTCTGTGTGTGTGTATGTAACTTCTGCTGGTAGGATTTCCTCGTACAGTCACTGCTGGCTGCTTGTTTTGCATATTTCCTCCTCCTCTTCTCCAGAGAGTGCTGTGGCCATAGAGTTGTTCCATTGACTGAGAGTGAGGCCGTCTCTTCTACCACTTCTTCTTCTTCGTCTTCATCATCATCAGCGAATCTTGCTTGAGCCTGCTCCTGCTGGCACGGCTGGCACTTATTGCTTTGCCAGCAGCGCACATTTCTCGGGACCTGTCTCGGTTTTCAGAGAGAGACACAATTTGCCAGTTTGTGCTGTGCTGGTAGAGTACGGTACTCTGAGTACTTACTACCTGATCGAAGCAATCGAGTAACTGTGCCTGCCTGAAGTTTAGCCGTGAAATGTGTGTGTCTGTAGCAGTGCTGTTTCAGTAGTCCTCAGCTCGTCTTTCCCTTAGCGTCTTCCAGTAGCAGTACCTCTCTGTGTGCGTCTTGCAACAAATGAGCAGTGATCGATCATTAGCACATTAGACGGTAGTTGTAGTGGTGGTGAAAGAAGAAGAAGTAGCGGGTGGAAAGAAAGGTAGAAGTGCACGGCGCCTTAAACGCCGAGCCACTGACAACACTGCGCGCGCCGGCACTCTCAATTTTTATTGACTTTGAATCACTTTGCAAACGGTTTCCTCTCTGGCTCAGTTTTCCTAACCAAATCACCACCGCCACCAACACTACCACTGTCATCATCATCATCATCATCAAAGAGCCAAATTGAAAGAATCCACTTTCACTTTTTCTTCTTCTTTTGTCGTTGTCAACCTTTAGTCTGGTTGCACTGTACAACTCAATTCAGTTCGCCTTCTTGCTCTGATTATTCTGCTCACCGCTCTCTCAATCAAATCATATGCACGATTATGAACAAGTTTCACTNCTGGTTGCACCGTACGACTCAATTCAGTTCGCCTTCTTGCTCTGATTATTCTGTTCACCGCTCTCTCAATCAAATCATATGCACGATTATGAACAAGTTTCACTTATTTCGCCGTCGTCGACCACTGCAGCACTTTCAATGTGAGCCACTTGCCGCTGCTTTTATTTCACTCTCCGGCTGCATTTTTTGCCCCTAATGACTCTTGCTCCTTTCGCCTGCTCTCTTGCCTTCTTTAACCTAAGTGATCCTTCACTCTCGTGATCGCCACTCTCTCTCTCTCGTTTTCACTTTCCTCGCCTGTCAACACTAATCATATATCACTTACCTTTACACACACTCTGGCGCACAGGCCACTCAGGCTGATGATTGTTCTCCTCCTCAGCCGACCGGTGGTGGACTGTCGCGCGCATATGCACACACACATTTCCACATTACACACTCACACACACTCGCATTCATTGCGCTCACTGCCGCCCAATCATTTACTCATTTAGACTTACTCTTTTCCTTTCTCTCTCTCTTCCTCCACAGCCGCATCTCAGCTTGATCAGCGAGACTCCGATCAGAGCGTGGTGGTAGCAGCGGGTGCAACGACGGTCGCATCCGCCGTCTCCGACTCGCAGCCAATCGAGCTGACAGCTGTCAGCAACGGCGCAAAGTACCAGGCCAAGTCGAGTCTCGACTTGAGCCTGTCCTCGCCGAGGTCGCCGCCGAGGTCGCCGCGGCTGTCAAAATCGCCGCCGCCACCTCCGCCGACTGCCTTCACTCCTCGTTCCATGGGCTCTGCCAATGCAGGTACACCCGCTGCCGCCGCCGCCGCCTTCTTTCCCACGACGCCACCGTCGGCCACGGCAATGATGGACTCATTCTCAGGTGAGTGCTTTTTGGAGATGGACTAGTATTCTAATTTTGTGTTGCATTTTTTGCAGAGTTTCACTCAGACGCCCCCAGTGCCGACCATGGCAGTGACCAGCACCACCATCACTCAGCTGAGGGCGGCAGCGCCTCGTCGGCGACGGCAGTGCCGTACACTCGCCAGCAGACGTACAAGGACCGACGAAAGAACTACCGTCGGGAGAAGAAGAAACTGGCCGATGAGCTGATCTCCGCTATCCAAGACCCGACCATTGTGGTGATGAGCGACTGGCTGAAGGTACGCACCACACTGAAGCAGTGGAACAAGTACTGGTGCGAGCTGCGGCCCGGTTCACTGTACCTCTACAAGAACCAGAAGACGCATAAATCGAGCAACTGGATCGGCTCGGTGATGCTGAAGATGTGCGAGCTGATTGAGCGACCGTCAAAGAAGAACGGCTTCTGCTTTAAGCTCTTTCACCCGCTAGAGCACCCCATCTGGTCGCCAAAGGTAGGCTTGATATTTGTTTTGTTGCAAATTTTTAGCTAATTATGATTACTTAGGGTCCCCATGGTGAGGCCTTCACTTCGATCATGTTTCCCCTGCCGGCGTCCTCGATCATCTTTCGCGCCCCCTCTGAGGGCTCCGGCCGGAAGTGGATGGAGGCGATTGAGCTGTCTTTCAAGTACTCCAACATGATCATTCCCGCAAAGTACCACTCGCCCAGCATTCAGCGATCAATAGAGATGTCGTCCTCAGTACCGACCACGCCACTTAGCGCCACCTCGGCTGCTGCTTCAGCGGCGGTCAACGGCGGTGCAGTGAGCAGCTCACCACTTGTCAATTCTTCACTGTTGCTCTCTGAGCTGGGCGGCAGCATTGACAAGTCGGATGAGGATTTGCTGGGCAGTCAGCGACGAGCGCTGATGGTTGCTGATGGAGTGCTCCCCTTTAATGACTCGGAGATTGAGAAGCATTTCGGTAAGTGCTCTGATAGGTTGCAATTTTGAGCTATTCGTGACCGTTTTTGCTTTACCAGATCTCTGCGATGACGTGCACACCGACCACGGCGACCAGGAGGACTCGCAGGAGCACCACACGACGGAGGACAGCGATGATGACTCTTACTTTGAGGATGAAGAAGATGGAGGCGGAGGCCACCATCACCACATTGTCCGCGGTGGGTCGGCCATGCGTGTGCTTCACGGGGAGAATGGTGCCAAAGAGGTGGTGATGGACCTGGTCGAGACGACGTACGGCTTTGACGGTGGTCTCGAGGAGTTTGGCCTGGTGGGAGATGCCGGCCAGACGGAGGACGTACCGGAGGAGAACAAGTCGCTGCTGTGNCCTGGTCGAGACGACGTACGGCTTTGACGGCGGTCTCGAGGAGTTTGGCCTGGTGGGCGATGCCGGCCAGACGGAGGACGTACCGGAGGAGAACAAGTCGCTGCTGTGGACGCTGCTGAAGCAGGTCCGTCCTGGTATGGACCTCTCTAAGGTGGTCCTGCCGACCTTCATTCTCGAGCCAAGGTCCTTTTTGGAGAAGCTTGCCGACTACTACTACCATTGTGATATTATTTCCAAGTAAGTTTTTTGGTGATGATTTGTGTAGAACAGTTTTTTCATTTACTAAATTTTTTCTTCAGAGCCGCTCTAGAGGAAGATCCACTGCTTCGCATGAAGCTCATTCTCAAGTGGTACCTCTCCGGTTTCTACAAGAAGCCCAAGGGCCTCAAGAAACCGTACAACCCCATTCTTGGGGAGACATTCCGCTGCTGTTGGCAGCACCCGGAGACCGACTCGAAGACCTTCTACATTGCAGAGCAGGTGTGTTTTACTTTACTGGTTAAATTGTTTGTCATGTTTACAATTGTATTTTTGCTACAAACTCAGGTCTCTCATCACCCACCAGTTTCCGCTTTCTACGTGACCAATCGAAAAGACGGCTTCTGCATCAGCGGCTCAATACTGGCCAAGTCCAAGTTTTACGGTAATGGACAACGTTTTCCCTCTCATATTTGTCGATTCTCATTAATCAAAACTTGCACAACTAGGCAACTCCATTTCGGCAATCCTCGAGGGCACGGCCAAGCTGTCGTTGTTGGCCCGCGGCGAGGACTACCTGATCACCTTTCCCTACGCCCACTGCAAGGGCATCTTCCTCGGACCGCTGGCCTTTGAGCTGGGCGGCAAGGTGATGATCACCTGCGCCAAGACGGGCTACAAGACGGAGCTGGAGTTCAAGCTGAAGCCCTTCTTCGGCTCCGACGACCAGTGCAACCTGGTGGTGGGCAAGCTGCGGCTGGGCAGTGAGACGCTGGGCACCATCGAGGGCCACTGGGACTCGGAGATCTGGTACAAGGACAAGCGAGGCAACAAGGGCGAGGCGGAGCTCTTCTGGAGCGGCGTCGATCCGAAGGTGAAGCAGAGTCGACTGCGGCGGCATGTTGTTCCCCTCGAGGAGCAGTCGGAAACGGAGTCGGAGCGTCTCTGGAGCAAGGTGACGGCGGCCATCAACGCCCAGAATCAGGAGGCAGCCACCGTGGAGAAGACGGCCCTTGAGGAGGCGCAGCGAGAGGCGGTGAAGCAGCGCGCCACGAGAATGGAAGTTTGGTCGCCCAATCTCTTTGTCTTTGACAGCGCCTCCAGCGACTGGTCGTACAAGTTGGCAGAGATGCGACCCTGGGATAATCGGTAAAAAGATAAAAATTAGTTTGTTTTTGATGAGCTTTATAACTGACCTCAACTTATTTGTTTGCAGCACTGACATCAAACAGTACGAACACAACTATGTCATTCGAACGCTGACCCGGCACCTGACTGCAAAGAAGACCGCCAGCAGTTCGCCTTCACTGTACACGGCTTCATCCGCCGCTGTTGCTGGCAATGTGATCGACGGCGCAGTGAATGGCGGAGAGAGTGTCGCGGCGAGGAACAGGGTTCGCTACCGCCGACAGATGACCTGCGCCGATCCGACGGCGCACAAGGCTCGAGGAGAAGGAGAGGGAGCTGCTGTTGCTGCTGCTGCTGCCGAAGACCACCTTGGTGGGCCTACCCTTGTCGGTCAGCGATCACTGAAGATCTCAGTAGGAGCAAAGTCCACTTCAGGCAGGCAGGAAGGTGAAAACCAGAGCAGTCTCAGCTCTCAGCTGAGCACCCTCAAGGGCGCCCTCTGCAGTCTGGAGCAAAAGTACGAGACGATGCGCAGTGAGGTGAATCACCACCTGCACAGCTGTCGCTGTAGCTCTTCGGTTGCTGGTCCTGGTGGTGATGCACTTTCATCGGGTACTTCTACCACCACCGCCACCACCGGTTATCACCACCAGAACGTGCGCATGTCCTCGAGCAGCAGCGGCACCTTTGGCATCACCCGACTGCGCTTTCAGTCGCTTCTCTCCATTGTCCCCGCAGAGGTTCGCCAGGTGCTCTTCGTCCTCATTGCTCACCTTCTCCTTCTCACCTTCTACCCTTCCATCTTCACCGCCTCTTTCTCTTCTTCCACTTCGTCCACCTCGTCGTCCTCATTGTCTTCCAACAATGCCGGTCAGCTTCCGTCTGCCTCCGTCTCTGACTCGTCTTCCACTTCGTCCACTAGTTGAGCTCTCTGACTTTTCACCACTTTCACAAATTCAGTTTTGTTTATCATTTTTTCAATTCCTGAGTTATTTTCCTGTTTTTTAATTAAAACGACAGAGTATTTTTGCTTTCATTTTGGCGGGCGGCCCGGCAGGGCAGAAGCCCGCTTATTTTTTCTTACACTTGTTTTCTTGTCATCACCTTATTTATTTACCTTGTTTCCAATCGTATTATATTTATTTTTATAGAATAATCTTTGTTATACTAAAAAACATCTCTACACACTGTCGTTTGATACCAAAAGGAATTAAATACTTGCAGCTTTACTGAAAGAAATGATTTGATGCAACACGTTTTTAATAAAAGAATTGATGATGGAGAATGATTCAAAGGTTTTCCATTTCTACTTTTTTATAATGTTTGGACGACTGGATTGACGATGCAATGGTTGATTTTAAAGTTATGCTATTTAATCATTTTGATAAATTGTTTAAAAATATATTTTTGACAAAATAATACAAATAAAAAGTAAGTTATAGTAAATTAGACTATACAAAATATGTGTGCTGCAAACTCGTACAGCAGATTGAAAAGGAGGACTAAGGCATTCGGTGGTGAGTGTCCAATGAGTAAGAAAATGCTCAAATTAAAAAATGACTTAAAATGACTACATGGTTTGCTCTGTACAAATATTTTGAAAAAGGCAGCAGTCTATACAAGTAGTAATGACTATTATGTCGCTTCGGTTGCCGTGGCAATGAGACCAGAAGTGATCAACGAGGTCGGCAGAAGATTGCGTCGCGAAGAAGAAGAGGACGATGACAAGGAGGAAGTGGAAAATTTGCCATCGCCAAAGCTGGCTTCCAAACTGCTTAAATGATCAGTGGCAGCAACAGTCACAGAGGTCGGAGGTGATGAGACAGGCGAGTGCTGAAGTGAGTGCACCTCCCTTTCTGTCTGCACACTGTCGTGACTAGCTGCACAAACTGCAAAAGGCTCTTCGTAAAGAGTTGGCGAATTGTGAATGCTACTGCTGTTGCTGCTGTTGTGGCAATGGCTGTTGATGCCCTCCATTGAGTGGGCGGCTCCGAGTTGCATCAACTCTGGAACCACTGAAACTGCCGTGGCCGCATCAACTGGAGAGTGGTCCAGCGACTTGGCTCGTCGAAGGAGGTTCAGCGGTGTATGGAGGTGGTTTTGAGCGTGGCTGTGCTGCTGGCTCATCTCAAAGTGCTGCAGCGATGAGGGCGAGTGCTGTTGACTGGACTGATTCAGCACTTGATGCTGCTGCTGCTGCTGCTGTTCGCACTCTGAATCGCCCTGAGAAATGCTCTCGGTGATGCTGTGATCACTGGTCATGCTACCGTCACAAACACCAGTACCAGACACGCCATGCAAATCCTGCTCACCCTGACCACCCGTTTGAATCAAGTTGACCTGGCCGTGTTGGTGTTGGTGGTGGTGCTGCTGCTGATTGACTAGCTCAATTGAATCGGTACTGCCGTCCAGCAGACCACCACCAACACTGGCACCAGTGGGAACGTACTCACAAAGCATCTTTCCACCACCGGAGCCGTAGCCTTCCAGAACTGGACTGCCGAACTGGCAAGAACTGGTATCGTAACCAGAGCTGCCGCCGTAGTACTGCGCCAAATTGGGATTGAGAAAGTTGGCACCGGTGCTGATGAAAAATAAAAAATCAAAGTTAGTAACATTGAAAAAGAAAAAACGTCAAACAAAAGTGTACCTAGATCCGTAAAAAGACGAGG